CACAGCTGATGTGTGACCAGGCAAGAATAAAGCCTCTTAATGTTTGCATACAGTATCTGTGAGAAAATGAACTGACGCTGAAGAGGTTCAATAAAGACGGGGAGGGGATATGAAGATACCTATTCCTTAAGGCAAAACTAGATGATCATGGTGTGTTTAGTCCACAGGATGATGCTGGAAGGTGGAAATTCAGTCTTTCTTGTGCCCAAGGAGAATTAAGCACCAGAAAAAAGAAATATTTCAGCTTGAGGAGATTGCTGGTGCAAGAACACATTGATATAAATGACACAAATTAAATGATAGGTCATAACCGACACTTCAATCAGGTTCTGGCAAAGTCTCATAGTATAAGATGGGTAAGCATAAAAAACAAGCTACTTTTAAGATGGAGCTTGTTAAGTTTATAAAATGTCTAATGGCATTATAGTCTTTGAGCGCAAAAACCACTGGAGTTTCCAGAGATGATCTTACCTTGATTTGTCTGTAGAAAGTAGACACAGTTGTCTTAGCAGTCGCAGTATTCTTTTATTCTCCTGAGTTTTAAAGGAAAAGATTACCAGGAGATGATATGTTTGAGCAATTCAAAGATTCTTTTTTTACAGGAATGCTGTTCAAAATGTGTAGCATTGAAGGGGAAAAGAAAGAAAAGAAAAAGAAAAATCCTAGAGAAGAGTTTATCCAGATTGTATGTTCAATGTAAATTTATCTACATATCTGTGTTCTCACCTTATCTAATGTACTTTTCCTCTTTCTAACACTGACAAATTTACTCACAGCATGAAATACGTGGTTTAGCTCATCTGCCCTTTGGCTGATTAAAAAAAAAAGTTGTCTCCTTGAAAGAGTGCGTTTACTGCTGGTGGGTAAAAAATACCTGACTTTCTTTTTTCAGCCTCTCAGCTGCTTAATGGCAAAATATAGATGATGATTGTCTGTCAGTCTTGATGAGTCAATACTACAAAGTGGTATGTTTTTCTTTGCATTGTACTACAAGTTTGACAAAGGATCTTTGAAAGCTAAATTGGCTGAGGGGGCGTACTGGTGAAATCGATACCTTCTGTAGAAAAAGGTGGCAAGCTGTAGAAAATAGTTTAGCAGGGCAGACATTAAAAAATGAAGCCTGCCCAGCGGGCATGCAGTGAACTCGCATATGAGTGATCCATGTTAATTGAAGAACTGACCGTGCCTAGGAAGGTGTTTTTATAATTGCAGTGAGAGGCTCCTGAGATTTCCAGGCAGTTACGGTGCAACATAATACTTTTGAAGTGGAAGAAATTTGGCTAGGCCTGGTATTTTTTAGTCTACTTGGACAAGAGAGCACAGACAGCAGGTGAATGTTTTGCTCTAATGGGGCGTTTACAGGAAGACATCTCTTGCCTGTGTCTGCTGTCTTTCTGAAGGAACAGAAGTTACTTAAGAGCTACCTGCACGTTGCTATACCCTTCACCGAGACTTATTTGCTTCCAGGTTAGAATGGAAAATAACTTCAAATGTGCATGGTTTAGTATTAAAAAAAAAAAATAATAAAAACGATGGGATGGAAACTGAAGAAGGTCCCACCCACTTACGAGAATGAAGTAAATATCTGTAGTTTTCATGCTGATAGTGTAATCTAATCAGAGACGAAAGTCAGCCTAGACTTCAGCAAGTGTGGCTGGACAACAAGCATATCTGAAGAGAGAGCTGTACAGGAAATTTTTGGAAATACCAGGAATCATCTTTGGTGTGGGTTGTGACTTGCTCTCTTAGAGATTCAGCTTCTTTCTCCAGCTTCATTAATTCATGCCTGCTTTCTCCCAAAAGCTTATTACTATTAATAAACTTGAATAAACACAGGGTGGAGAAGATTTCAGGCCATCTGGAGAAGAAGTCTTTTCTCATTTACATGTATTGCATACATCGGTCTGTTAGTTCTATGTGTCCCCAAAGACTCCTGTAAGACAACTGTAGGATATATATGCAGAATTTCCACAGTAAAAACTGCATCAAGTAAAATCTTCTAAGATTTTCACACAGCACAAACACAGAGATGCTCTTTGCTTCTGAATCCTTTCCATTTTGATTGCAGGGCTAAACAAACCTGAGATCTCACTCATGCACGCACCTCATTGACCGCAGACCATTCCCAGGCAGCAGTTAGCTCACTTCTACCAGGAATCTTGCTAGTAGTGCTGGTTCAGCATCCCCGGTGCTCTGTCCTGCTCATTGCTTTGCTATTCTACCTGCACCTTTGCTCTGTGTTGCTGTATGTCAGATGGAAGGGCATTACTCTCTATATATGGCACCATCCGATGTTTGGAAAGTGCTGACAACCAAAACCAAACCTATGCACTGGAATTGGAAAGCGCTTATTTTTAAGGGGCTTAATGACACCTGTTGGGTTGGATGCTGCGAGTCTGGGAGCTGAGCTGCCCAAACGCAGATGCTGGGTGGAGTGCTCCAAAAGTCTTGTTGCAACATCCAGCTGGAGGGTGGCACAGAGGTGAGACCTTGTGTGCACCTGAAGCCCCTGGTGACCAGGGAGTGCCATCTGCCACTAGAGTGGGGGAAATACTCTAAAGGATAATAGTGCAGTCAAAAGGTCCTCAGCAGGCTCTTTCCTCATTGACCTAATAGTTCTCTTGGTGTTCCAACTTAGGCATCAGCACATGTTATGAATTTTCCTGGGCTCTGCTGCAATACAGAGAGATGCCTAGGACCCCAGAAGGGACCCAGTCTGGCAGGTGATCTCTCAGCCTACCCCGAGCAAACTGTCATCACTGAGTTAAAGACAAAGCCTGGCTTCTTGGCCTTTGTATATTGGCTACAGCAGTGTTTTCTGGCACGGTCTTTGATCTCTCTGGGTCCAGCTCTTTTGATACCCACTCCATGGAGGATGTTGCTGCCTCTTCTTTGCCCTGCCATTGCCTCAAGCAGAGCCAGGTTTGACTCTGAAACTATGAACTGCTCTGGACCTGCCTAACTCTGTGCAGTCACTCCAGTGTCTATGCATACAATGTCCAGGGAGCGCTTATTTGGTTGGGATTTGTGCTACAGCTACCTGTGATGGACTCAAGCCAAGGAAGGGTGTCTTGTAGGACCTGGGAGACCTCAGGGCCCCCGATCGGGCTTGCCTGGTGAATTCCCCAGGCTTGATAGAGAGGCACCAGTGTTTTAAGGGCACCATCTACTGGCTAATGGGAGCAAAATGAGGCAGTGGTGTGTTAAAATTTTGAGTCCCTCTGTTCACTACAGTGAGCGCTGGAGCCACCTTAATCAACAGGTGAAGATGGGAGAGCAAGTAGGGAAGGCTGGGTTGACACTGGATATGAGTCTTAAATAAAGCCAAACTTAAACTGACAACCTTAAGACTTATCAGAGGAATTAAATTTCAATCCAAAGTCTTTTCTGGCTTCAAAAAGTCCATTATAGTTTAGTTGACATTATCTTGCTAGGAACCTGTGAGTCTCAGTTCTGGTCATATTTTGCATCCTTTTGTGGGATTTCTTAGTTTGGTTGGTCTTGTCTCTAGAAAACAGCTTTTTTAAAGAAAGCAAAGGATTGGCAAGATTTCTGTGTGCACTTATAATATGCTGTCTTCCCTATGTGCCCACCAGTGCTGTTCCTCATGATTATTCTAGCTACAAAAACTAAAAAGTCATGGTTGGTAATTCCTCTCCTTGATAACTGCCCTCTTTTTTTCAGCTGTAGTTTAATATTGTGAGAACCCCAAAGATCTGTTTATGCTCTTGACTAACTGCGTATCAGTGGGGTCGCAGAAATGTTGAGAGCTATGTCAGTATGAATGTGAGGCAGAAAAAAGCAGGATTTGTATGGGGTTGTTTTATCCGAGATGATATCTATATGCAGTTCCAAATGTCAGAGGATTCCTTTGCGCAGATCCTTAAATTTAATTTAATTTGCTATTAAATGATCCTCTGGGCTTCCAAAATTGCTAGTGTGTTTCCTCATATAGGTGGAATAAGTTTACTTTTTTCTTACCATACTCATTAATGCAAATGGGAAAAATGATGGTTTATTTAGGACTTGGGAAAAAAATCAATATAAAATAGAATTTTGTTGTGGTTTAACCCCAGCTGGCAACTAAGCACCACACAGTTGCTTGCTCACTCCCTCCTAGTGGGATGGGTGAGAGAATTGGAAGGGTAGAAATGAGAACACTCATGGGTTGAGATACAGCCAGTTTCATAGGTGAAGCCAAAGCCATGCACACAAGCAAAGCAAAACAAGGAATTCATTCACCACTTCCCATGGGCAGGCAGGTGCTCAGCCATCCCCAGGAAAGCAGGGCTTCATCATGTGTAATAGTGACTTGGGAAAACAAACAGCATCACTCCAAAAGTCCTCCTTTTCCTTCTTCTTCCCTCAGCTTTATATGCTGAGCATGACATCATATGGTGTGGAATATCCCTTTGGTCAGCTGGGGTCAGCTGTCCCAGCAGTGTCCCCTCAGAGCTTCTTGTGCACCCCCAGCCCACTCACTGGTGGGGTGGGGTGGGGTGAGGAGCAGAATAGGCTTTGACTCTGTGTAAGCCCTGCTCAGCAGTAACAAAACCATCCCTGTGTTATCAACACTGTTTTCAGTGCAAATCCAAACCATAGCCCTGTACTAGCTACTATGAAGTAAATTAACTCTATCTCAACCAGAACCAGCACAAATTTGTAAGGATAACTGGGATCATATATTGCTATGTACTATTAATGCCTAGTGCTTGAATGTTGGGCAATTACAAAATTCATTTGTTATGTAGGACAAGACAATGTTTGCGGGTACCTGTGGTGTGCCCTCCTGACTCTGAAAGCCAGCCTGAACCAGACAAACAAACATGCGAAATAATATATTTGGTGGCATTAAAAAAAGTATTATATAACTATGCATACATATCCAACTGCTGTTACTATGAATAGTCTCTCGCTTCTATGCATACAAATTGCTGTTATTGTTAATCTTAATGTAACATTTAAATTTGAATGCTTTTTTTTCTATTTTCTTCTTTCAGTTGCAAATGAGACAGGTGATAAAAATGCACGACCACTTTCGCGATTTGCCCGTAAGTAGCCGTTTTATTTTAACTGGTTGATTTCTATATCTATTGTAGAAATACACACATTTAATAAGTCTTTTCATCTCATGTCCACCCTGTTATTACAGTTCATTTACAGTACTAAACTGAGGAACTGTAGTACTTAGTTGGAAAAGTCACTTGCAGAAATTCAGTCTTGTTGAACAGAGTTGATGCAAATTTAAAAGAATGGAAGGCTTTGTGGCCTTGCTATTGTTTCAAGCATAAAAGGTTATAACAATATAAGTGTCACAAAGCCAGCTGAACTTGACTACAGTGGCTACAGAGAGACTTGGGCCAAGCCTTAGAAACAACATATGAAAAATGTAATTAAACCTTACTGACAGCTCCTCCATCACCTTTTGCTTCATACAGCAAGGTTAGGAAATAAAGGTATGGCTTGGGGTTTGAAATAAGTGACCCAAGTTCGAACAAAACAAAGGGATGCGTCTGGTAACATAGCACCAGCTGACCACGACTTTGACCATATGAATTACTAAAAACACACATGAGAAAATATGTAGGAATGAGGAGAAAGATAGGAAATCCTGTTCATAATGCATGTGGTTTCATGATGATTTGTCATCACTTAGCAGGGAAAAATCCCCTTCTCATCATTAAAAGACTGCATTTGCCATCATTGTGGGTGGTGCAGGATCAAAATATCAAAAGAATTTATATCCATGGTGCAGTATTTCACACAGTCACAGGATGGCACTCTGAGCATGCCATACCTCACATAGGTAGCTAAGGTGCATAATGTAGAAGGAACTGCTGTGGCTATGAAATCTGTTGCATGTAGTGACTTACAAGGTGATGGAGCAGATTAAACAGGACCGAGAGAAAATTATACTGGCATTCCTTATTCCTCATTTAGGATTTATTTTCCTTCACGTTGTAGACAGTGAAGCGTAAAAAGGGGCTCTATTTATCAGTCCTGGTTCAACCCTGAAAATGCATATGGCAAAGGAAGTCACAGAGAGGAGAGAAATGTAAATGCAAACATTTTCAGGTTCTTTATGACTCCACTTTTTGTCCATTATGGTTCCTGAATACTATGTACAGAGCTGGAAGATTCAGCCCAATACTCTTTATTCCTGCATATTTGGGTTACATGGACTTCATGCTGTAAAATTGCCTGACAAGTAGGTCAAGCATAATGTCATGACAGTTGGAACTGAGCTGGCATTTTGGTTCTGATTCTGACATTCATAAGAACTTGATTTTTGGTGAATATGTATAGGGTGCAGGTCTGAGACCCAGGAACAACCAGGCTCTGTTCCTGGTTTAATCTTGGCTCTCCACCAGGCATCCAGTCCTTATTTGCAGAGTTACGGGCGACTGGCTTTACATGGAAGAGAACAGTCTGGCAGGTGGGTATCAGCTGAATGAAAGCACGGGATACCCCCCTTATAAGGCCTCATCGTATGACCCAGCGCTGCATGGGATTAAGTGTGGAGGTGAAATCAAGGCCGCAGGCTATTTGACAGTAACAGAAATGCAATGCAGAGAGGAACACTTAGATAAGCCTGGTTGAGAAATAGTCACAGAGGCATAATATAGGGACAAAGGGAGATACATCAAAGTGTAAACCAGACCTTCACTGTTAGGAGTTAAATTTAGTGATCTGGGAGTCAGGTCGAGGATTTCATGATCCAGCTAGTTTCTCATAGGGTATCATTAATGACGACGGTGTGGCCATGAGCAGTATAAGGTCACAACCCTGTGGGAATGGGAAGGAAAAATAGAATGGGAACTGTGTTACATAAAGGAGGGAAATGTCTGAGGCACGTGCTGTGCTAACGTGAGTTAAATGGATGATGCCCAAATTTATGCTGAGAGTACCATAACCTACTCTACCATACCATGGTGGAGTGCAGATCAAACATTCAAAAACATTCTGACTGAATGGCAGAAAAAGCTGCAGCATTTGAGGACAAGGATTCAAGCAATAACTGAAGTCATAGAGGATTACCGTCGTTATCCTTGTGTCTGAGTCACAAGCTAGAGACTGGGCATCTTCCTGGATCGTGCCTTTTACATTCACTCGAATGATTAATTCAAAGGCAATTACTAACTTCAGAACAGAGAATGGGATTTCTATTGCTCTGTAACAGCTGCCCATTTGAGGTCAACAGTAAAACCTTCAGAGATTTCAGTGAGATCACAGTTGGGCTGTCATTGAACATTTAACAAACCATATCCATTTTGGCTGACCTTATTTACCTGGTCTAACTTTCTGTGCACGCAACCAAACACAAAATAACCCCCAGAAACCCAGGTGAGCCTTGTCCATCCTGACTGTTGCCTGCAGCTCTCTGGAGCAGGTAGCTGTTTCCCCTTTAGTTCAGGAACAAAGAAGAGGGAAAGGCTGCTGGTGTTGTTAAGTGAGGCAGTGGGACTGATAGTTGTGTGGTTATCAGTGATCCAGGTAGCTAGACTTGCAGTGTAACAATATTTTCAGACTGTATTAAACAATTTGAAACACACCCACAGACTTTTTATGTAGAATTCTGCTTTTTAAATTCCAACACTTAAATCTAGTTTGCTTTTGCCTCTAGCTCAGCTATAATCATCTTTGACAGGGTACAATAAAATGAGGGAGAAGCATTTTTGCAAATGTTTACACTTATTCACAAGGATTTGAAATTAAAATTAAGTGTTATTCATTCTAATACTAGGGCTACCCAATCTTCTGTACTCTTAAATGTCAAATTCCAGTTGATTTAGGAGATTTTGAATTTAAGAAGTTACTACTCCCTTTAGCAGCAGTTAACATGCCTGGTATCTATGTCATCTTGTTACAAGTACCACCATGCCACCAGTCTTTGAACAGTTGTGGCTGTGGGAATTTAAGTTCATCAGGCTTTCTGCATTTCAGGTAGGTGGAAGCTCCTGGCTGGTGTCTGTTCAGGCAGGCCCATTCGGTAGATAAAATTATTTGCTAAATGTCCTTCACCTGATCATAACTGTGGGCAGGCTAAACATGGATTAGGACAGGTGGGCATTTCATTGCTCTAGTGAAGTTGGTTAATTCACATCAGTTGGTGATTTGCTGCTGTTGATAGTCAGAGGAGCCAAGTAGATCTGGGTCTACAGCCTAGATCTAATAGGGGAAAGCTGCATGGGATGGACATCCACGCTGGAAGAAAAGGTATAGGTATATGTGCAGAGAACGTAGGGAAATACTCTCTATATATACTGCAACGAGTACTTGGGGCTTTTTTGCACTGGTTTTTTTTAAAGAAAAAGAAGAAAAAAGGTTTGATCTGAGTGATTATATGGTTTTCAGGGGCAGTTAGTTAACCTGCCACTATTGGCTTTTGGTGGTAGTGTAAACAACAAGCTACTTGTAAGTGCAGAAAAAGGCTAATACGTCTTTTTCCTGGACCATGGAGTTGTCCTGCACCTGGCAAGATGGAGGGCTAGTTGGATAAAAGAAAGGGTAGAGCTGAGGAAATAGGGAGAAGGTGGTAGTTTGGGAAGCTCAGCAGATTCCTTGGGGTAACTGCAGAGGAAAACCTCAAAATAAGACAAGTAGCTTCAGAGAGCCTCTTTCCCACAAAATACTATTTTAATAGCATACACCAGCTTTTTCTGCAAGTGTTGATGTCCTGCTCTTCTATCTTAGTGTGCAGCATGTATGGCTGGATGGCAGCTTGTTTTTCTTTGTTGACCATATCTTAACAGAGACTTAAATTTCTGGTTCCAACTGTGCTGAGTATGGCATGCTATGGCAAAAGAAATGGTCCTCTCAACATATGATAGGGAGTCACAATATTTTTGGCTCTATCACAGGTGGCCTGTGTGGTCAGATAATTTAAATCTCTTACATCCTTTATATTTCCCCTTACAGAATGGGAAAACAAATGCTTACCTATTCAAGTAAAATTAAGAAATTTGGGGAAATTTGCACTGTAGTTTAAAGAATAGAATCAGTGGTATTGCCATAACATTGCAAGTCTTTGAATGATAAAGATGTATGGATGTTGCATTCAATCCTGCAGCTGTTGTGTAGGCATTACTTTGGACAACCTGGTGTGAGGAGTAATTTTTCTAGCTATTGTAGCACAGAACTCGGCACAAGAGACAAGGCTACCTCTAAATCTGGGTAATATGGTCTTTGCACATTAAATAGCTGCTGACAATTAAGAGCAGAGAAGTCTACGAATATGGAGCTTTCCTGATTAGCTGGGAAATGCTCTGAAAATTACTTTAGCATGGGGAGGATAGACAAGGATTCTTGCTGGTCCGTCTTTGCACCATATAGACTGTGTGAAAAGAAAACACTGAAGACAACCAGCAAAATAAGGCTCCCATCACCTGTCTGTAACAGCAGATACTGCTGCTTCTAACAGGATAGCTTCTCATGATATATTCCCGGGAGACATGAGATAACAGCTCTTCTATTTGGTTTCCTCTTAGGTACTTAGCGTGTCCTGCAACAAAAAGTCAACCTTAATCCATATGTGTTAGGTCCACTATTTGCTTCTTAATTGTCTCTGCTGGACAATTGAGTCTGAATGCTGGGAAAATATTTGAAAATTTTACCTGTACAGTCTCTTATAAAAATCAGTTGCTGACTTTAGAAATGTCCCATTTTCAGGGCTTTTTTTTTTCCATTTTGCATACTGATAAAAAGCCCAGGGAGACTGACTACCAGCAGAGTTGGTATGTCTTACTACTTTGGAATGCAGTAAGATTAATGCTTGTTACACCTCTGTTGTGGGAAGTCTCTTAACTGAAATAATTCGTATTTCAGTACTTAACTGCTCTTCCTGGGATCTGCTAATTCACTCATGTATATTCTGTAATAATTGAAAGTTAGAATGTGACACAGGTGTTCAGTATGGGAGTATCACTGGGATTTTCAAAAGTGCCTAATTTATTCAGAAGCCATTTGGAAATTTTTGAAAATATGGAACAGATACATTTCATAAAGTTTGAGTAAGTCATGTATTCCCTTCTCCAAAGGCAGGGAGGAGATCTGACTGAAGGATGCTAACTGTACTTTGTTAGTGGAACTAGGCTTACAGGTAAGGATGGGTTCTCTGAATGACAAGCAAGAGGCACTGGGTGACACTTTTAAATAAATGTAAAAAGATCATCCATATAAATATTTTGGCTTTTGAATGTCAGCTGAGAAAAGTTGAAGTTTCAACAGAAAATAAGTATGTTTTCTGATAGTAGTCCTTCAGTGATATCTTGAATCTATAATTTAACCACTATTAACTTTAGTCTAAGAAAGTCAACGATTAATATTGTATTGCTTTGGTACTTTGTTTTTTGGTTACTTCTTTAGCTTAAAATACAGCCACATCAGTACATGTGAAGCTATAATCTAAGTAGAATGTGGAAAGGATGGTTTTTATCAAGATATGGAAACTCCGTGTTCTGTAATCAAATCTTTTTATGGGAGGCATTACAGTCTTGGATTTAGAATGACCTGAATGTTAGTGCTTATTTCCACTTCAAGCTTTATTTCAGGTTTTCAGGCTTAATCCCAAAGTCTGGTGATGCAAAGGTAAAAAGATAACAGACCCTTTGTTTTCCACGCTGATGAGAGACTGGACGATAGGCCTATGAATTTATTTTCCTTCTAACTCTCTGGTTTTGCAGGGTCTAAATCACAAAACTGCTTGTGGAACACCATTATCGGTGGGCTGACTGGCAACCTCAAGGAAAGGCCAAAGCCGACCATCATCAGTGACCCTAGACCACCTGAAGAAATATTAGCAGATGAACTACCACCAGTAGACAGTCCTGAGGCATTGGTGAAAACATCTTTCAGGTCTGATGGATATCCATGTACTTTGTTTATCCTTGGAAGGATATCTTTTTAAGATTAAGTCTGTAGTGTGGGTTTGGTGGGAGAATCGGTACTGAAGGATTCAGAAATGCATATATTTGTACTGAAAAAGAGTGAAAAAAGAGGTCCATAAATAATACTGACTGGACTCATTTTTCACTTCTGAGACCTCATTAGCCTTCTGGCTAGACAGATATAAATTCTGTAACTAGTCAAAACGGTCAACAAAGCTCATTATATGAAGATGTCTTTGAAGGTTGGTATTGTTTAATTTGAAAGTGGTTTAGTGATCAAGACTTGCACTTTAGGTCAGATGATGTGCTTTATTGATGCAAGAGAGAGCTAAACCTTTTTCTGTTGATGTAATGTCTTGAGAACTGTCTAGCATTAATTTATTTTGTCAAGCAGAAGGATTCTGGCCAGGGGCTTGCAAGCATGTGATTGCTGCTGTTTTAAAGTGTGTGATCTATCTATTGCTAGGTTTTCTTCTCTTTCATTTAATCATGTGGAGGTACAGTTGTCAGATATTTCTTGGAGGCATGTTTTCTGAAAATAATTTTCTCAAAATGAGGTAAAATAGAGAAGCCGTGTGCATGCAGTGGATCTTTGACCAAAATGTGAAAATTGGTGTACCCAGCAAAAGCGAAGTGAGTGGCAGAATTGATTTTTCCAAGTGTTTTTTGAGCTTTTTTTGTTGTTGTTGAAAAACTGTGCTCTGCTTTTCTTTTATATTAAATGCACATGTGTGCAAACATAAAATGTTTTTTGCGTTTGATAAATTTCTCTGACTGCAGTGATTTTGATTATACCTCAGTCTGTCAGACTTATTTCAGTCTTCATATATTTGTTATTTTGAAGGTACTTATTTAAGTCATTATATTAGGTAGTAATTTTAGATACCCTGTTTATACTGCTTGACATTTAAAAACATATTACCATAAAGTGAGTTTATGTCAGTCTATATAAATAAATCCCATAATTCCATAGCATATTTTCATTCTTTAATATTTCCATTGAAATTATTCAGGACAAGTGTTTCAGAACCTGGATCCTCCTTTTATGATATTCCATGGTATTTAATGGCTTTTAAACACTTTGTGTCTCTGATACTTAATGTCTGTAATTTCAAGACATCTAACTCTTTTTCAGCTTTCACTTCTCATAACAAATTCTGGGTAGCAGCAATCCTTATATTGCCATCGTCAAGATAATTTCAACCATTTTATATGACAAAATAATGTCACAGAGTTTCAAATGGCATGATTTGATTATGTGAGTAGGGGTGACTCTTGGAAGAAGTGAGCTTGTGTATAGCATAAGGACTGATGAGTTGGAAAATGTAATTTAGCAAAATAGTTTTGCTAATGCAGTTTAAATGGCTTTATAAACATTACAGAACCTTTGTATTTCATCAGTATAGAAATTACTGTACAATGCGGTGGTTTGGGGGGCTCTTATAGATGGAAATCCAAACAAATTGTTGTTACAAAATAAATGGTAACGCTATAGCTTTATAAAGAAAGGAAGACCCGTGTGTGTTTAAGAGCTATGCAGAGGAGTGGAAGATGAGAAAGTGCGTTGCAATTACTGTCTAAAGATGTGAGAAAATAAAAGCACTGCAGTGTTTTTATTCATTTTGGGCTCTCGTTGATATTATGGTGCAAACTGGGGCTTAAGAGGCAGTAGCATCTTTTGTATGATGGGTTGCATGTTTGATTCATCAGGGTCTTCTGTGGATAGTGATTTTCAAGTGCTTCCTTGACAGCGTTGCACTGGTGTATCAGAGTGCCAGTGATTGCCTGCCAAGCATGGCCTTTCCTCGTTTCTTGTTTACTAGACACTGGTGGAAGGTCTTGCTGCCCTGTTGCCTTTTGGGGAATGAAATGGGCTTTACACGTTGTCCAGTCCACCATGTCTGAATTAGGAATCTGGTGGCTGAATCTCAGAGTGTATGTGGGGCAAGGTTGGGCTTGTATGAACTGACTGTACAAAGAGAAGAACCAGGCCTTGCTATCGAATGAGACTGTGCAGTCTCTTAGAGCAGTGTATGGCAATACTATCCCTTTCATGCATAGTTAAAGAGAAAATGTCTCTCCAGTGTCAAATGAGTCACACTTCCTTGTGATTGCATATTTTTTTATGTGAATACATACAAGCAGCATGAAATCCCAGTTGCCACCTCTTGTATTAGATCTTGTTTTCTCCTGTGCAGTACTTATTGTTCCATAGCTTGGAAAATTAGGAAGAGATCTATATTTGATTGTGTTCAACATCCAGATATGGGACTGAAATGCATTTAAACGTAGAAGGGGGAATGTGATTATTTCAATCATTTCAGTCATAATTTTCCTGCAGTAGTAATCCATCTTTAAGATGTAAAGCAAAACCCAAATGAAACCAGCCCCCTCTTTACATCCCTAATAAGTACAGTGTATGATCTTTCCATAATTAAGAAGTGTTCTGATTGTCTTGGCTTTCTTACACAATTTTTTTACTATCTCTTTTCTGAAGATGACAAGAACAAGCACAAGATTGGTCTAAACAAGGTTGAATACCTTTCTGAAGAAAGAATTGAAAGGGTTTGTAGTATATTCTTTGCAGTATTGCACTGAGTGAGCAGTTACAAGTAATTTCGTCTCTTGACTAGTTATATTACTGCAGTGTTTGAAATATAGATTTTAAAATCCATTCTCACTGGCATTTAGTCTATTTGTCTAGTAAAGGCAGGGGAGGACCCAGTTTGAATTGCATTTTAAAATACAGTGGACTATGGAGAATGGCAGATTATCTCCTTTGACAAGGGCAAAAAAAATATAATTAGACACATAGGAGTGCTTAGCTTCCTGCGCCACACTTCATGCAACAAATCTGGTATAATCCACTATGTATCTCTTCACAAATACGTAAGTTCACAATTACAGGAGCTGCGATCGCTTTCTTTTTTAATAGCTGTGCGTGTATCAGCATCCATGCATGTACAGTCGTTGGCAGTGGCTGTGGATTGATGCCCAGGATGGTGGGCGTATGGCCTTGTCAGGGCTGTGTGATTTGGATGTTGGCTGGAGGTGTCAGTGGTTGCCGACACTGAAGTCTGTAACTCAGAAACTCTCTTCCTAGATCTGCCTTTTGATCTGCTAGGTCCCTGTAATGAGCAGTGCTGCTATTGGTAAGAATTAACAGTGGTAATTAATGATCTCTTAAGGAGACTGTGTAATAACTTTACAGCCTCCTTTAGCTTCTGTGTGCTGCTCCCTGGCAGCGCTACCCAAGCAGGCATTTTGATAATGCCAGGCTGGCACCCACCAGGGGGAGCAGGGAAACAAGATACAGTTTTGGGTGCTGTTCTCACAAATACCATCTAGAAATTTGTGGAAAGCCTTTGTGTTGGAGGATACAAGAGAAACTGCTGCATTTGTTCCCAGGCTGCTGCCTGGAGTGAATCAAGTCACCAGGGTGGCACTGCTCTGGCTGGAAATGCGATGTGTCCAAGATGTCGTGATTTCTCCCAGACTCCCTTGTTTTTTGATGCATGGAAGAGATGAGCGTTATTTTGAGTCTAGAGACCTGGAACACTCTACTGGGGTATATGACCATGGTGGTGCTTATGGGATGTAACGGCTGTGCTGGATGTTGTGGCAGGAGAGATCCCATGGTACAACGTGACTGAGACATGCAGGGAACAATGGAGATGCTCATCTGAGACAAAACGTTCAGTCCAACCTCCCATCATGGTCCAGGGCCTGCATGACAGCTAAAGTTGGTCTGGAATCATGGAATCTGCAATCGTCCAGCTGGCTCTACGTAGCATGTGGGGACTTGGGGTGGGAGTGCTTCCAAAGTGATAAATCAGGGTAGTAGGCAGCTGAACAGTCCCATACCAGGCAAGCCTTACTGGATACCAATGTATTGGTCCTGAACTAGGAAGTGATATATGTCATCACATGTTACCAAGGCCATATGTCCTAGTAACCAGAAAGGCAGATTCGGTTCCTTCAAGGTCAGAGTGGTTTTTAGCTCAAGGCTTGCATGGGTTCTTAATTTCTGTCACCTTTCAAAATATTTCCAACTTTTAGCTTGAGGCTAGTAACATCCGTGCTTACCTTAATAGCTGCTTTTCCTATGTCAGCTGCAAAGTTTCTTTATCTTTCCAAGGATGGTTTGCTTTGCTTTCCTGATCTGCTTCTGTTCCACTTTGGGAGTCTTAAATCATACTGGCAGCTAATCTTCTTGTATTTCTGGTTTGGTTGTGGGTGGTGTAACATGCCAGCTACTGGCCACTTGGTCTACAGGATAGAGGTGATACTGCAGAGCTCCAAATGTGAAAGCTTCAAGTCACAACACCATGTGCTGGGAGTCAGCCCATGAGCCTCAATCAAGGTCAAGGCATCGATGGGAATAAGGGGTATGAGCCTGCCTTCCCCCTACCTTGCCTGAGTCATAGCAAGAGCCTGTCTCCGGTCACATGGCGGAGAGGGACTTGCAGGACTCCTCCTTTACCACCTCTCATGCTTTGACGCTTTCTGGGCAGCACCAAAGCTTGGCTAGCATGTGAGGTCTGAAAATCAGAGAGGTGCTGTGCGGGAGAGCTGTGACTACAACCGCAGGATAACAGGAGTTGAGGGCTAGTCGTGGGGTAGGATAAAGCCTGTCCTCCTTCCCAGGTCTCGGTATTTGTTTATTGCCTTTTTGACTTGGGTTTTCTTCTGTCATTTTTGTGTGTGTTTTTTAAAAAACAAGAAGAGTCTCACTTGCCCTATCTTGTTAAAAAAAAAAAAAAAAGACTACGCAAGGCAGGAAGCATGAAAGACTCTTTCTCATTGGTTTTTATACCTATCTACAGCATATCCAGATCTCAATAAACATTAAAATGTAAGCAGTCTCTGAAAAACACCCTTCTCAACATCTTTCTCAATCCAGATTTGTTATAAGGCACTTTACTTGCATTAAACTTAAATTCATCTGTGTTCTATTCAAACCTCTTG